GGTACTGGTCCGGGGGGCTCAGAGGTGAAAGACCCCGGGCAACAAGTTGGCCCTTGATGCCTGCTTGGCTGTCTCCTCCCAGGCGTTTGCATGCTCAGCACCTCTTTCTGGGCTCAGCGTTCTTGCTCCTTTGCCCGGCCAAGCCCCCTCTTCCTCAGGGTTTTCATCTCTCCTATGTTCTCCACAGGCTAATGGAACTCCCTGCGAGGAGCCCCTGGAGGACAGGTCTCGAGTGTCCTAGTTCTGTTTCCAAGGCCCCACAGAGATGCTTCAGGAAGCAAAGACAAGGCCAAGAAAGCAGGATGGGTAAGGAAAATTCCTCCCTGGAATCACACACCTGCGGCCGAGGGGCGGCTGAATGTATTTGGTAATTTCCCTACAGGCGCGCGGTAGACGGCTGACTGCTCTGATCATTTTAAAGCCTTTAGGCCCAAGATATACCGAGTCTAACACCACAGACTGAAGTTTCCTTGGCCGAGGAGTTTCCTCCTAGAGACACTGGCCTGTGTGCAACAGGCAGTGTTGGGAGCGGGGTTCCCAAGCAGAGGGAGGATTGGGGACCCGCCTCCACCTGAGGCCCAGTCGGTAAGTGGTAAGTGCGGTCATAGCCCTCTTGGCCTCTAGCGACAGGCAGGGCTGTAACAGTTTCACTAGTGAAGAATGGGCTTAGAGAGGTCAGCAGCTCCTGATGGCAGGGTGCGGAAGGGTAGGATGGGGCCTCTGTGCCAGGACTTCACATTCTGTGCTCCAGGACTCCCCGAGCCTATCTGTCTGAGGCACTAACAAAATAGACTGAGAAGAGTCATTCTGTCTTTTTAAAGGACAGTGTCAATTTCCATTGTTTTTATTTCTTCTAACTTGGGCAGAGAGCTTGGAAAGTTGCTGGATACCAACTGCCCTTGTGGAGAAGCCCATTAATCTTGGCCTTCCAGAGAAAATCTCCGGTAGAATTTATTTACAAGGCAAATTATGAAGACTTTGGACTTGCTTTCAATTTCTCTTCCAGGCTGCTCTTTAAATAAATGTTTCTCAGTCCAAAGGGGCCACCGTTACCTTAGATTTTTATCTTTTAAATCCCGCATTCACTGCTTTTGCTTCATTTTGTAAGAACGTGTCTTCAAGATGAACCACAATAAGACAGAATAAGCCTCGTTCTTCCTATAAATCTGCGTCTCGTAATCACTAACGCTGAACTCAGTAATAAGTGAGGATAATTGCAGAACACTTGGCTTTGTTCTGAAGGGCGAGATGTTGGATGCAGGCTCTCAGGACTCCGTCCAGATCCACTTTCCTGGAACAGAATTAGGGGCTGGCTCTGCCCAGCGCCAGGTGACAGCAAAGGGCAGGCGAGGGCACGGCAGCTGCCTGGACGTGGGGTGGAGGCTGCAGGCCCCGCGGCACAGCGTCCTGGAAAGGAGAGCTGGCTTCTCTGCAACGCCGCAGGCTGGGGCTGGGACAGGCGCGAGGGCACCGGTGCTGCCTGGCTGTCCCCGTCCGCTCCGCCGGCTGAGCCTCCTGACTGCTCTGAGTCTCAGCAATACGGAGAGGACCGAAGGGCTGTGAAATGTGCCCGGCTTTGCTTGGCGCCTGCCTCGCCCCGCGCCAGTGTTCACCTGGTCCTGCAGAGAATGCGCGCAGCCGTTGCTCGTCAGGCCGGCTCGGTCCTGATACTGCCTGAACTCCCTCGTCCTTTTGGAGATGAAGCATCTCTTTGGTTTGGGGGATGCTTTCTGATTATTCGCTTTACTTTTCCATCTGGTGTTTCTCTCTGAAGCATAGTGCAAGTATCTATCTGCACTTATGCTAAAGATTTTAAAAATACAGCTTTAATTTTTTTTTTACGTCTTTGATTTTTGTGAAGGAAAAATAATGGGGGGGGGGCATGGGACAACCTTCAGACAAGGAAAATAATGTTCCCTCTTCTATGCGCTTGGCAAACTGCTGTAATGCTGCAGCCGACTGAGTGATTACAGCGTTAGGGACTGTCGCCAGCAGATAGGACCTGCTTTTGCCTCCCATTTTACAGACAATAAAATTGAGGCACAGAGAAACTACTTGCCAAAAGGCACGTGGTAGATAAAAAATGGGGCCCGTGTCTAACCCAAGCGTTCTGCTTCCCCAGCACTTGCACGCGTGCGTGTAGTGGAGGGTCTCAGGAACGACACACCCAAGCAGTTCTGTGGAACAAGTACGCTTGAACCCGAATGCGTGACCTCCTCTGGACGGACGGACACAGCGAGAACCTGGCGTTTGCTCAGATATCTGTAGAGGGCACCGATTTGCCCTGTGTTGTTAATATCCGGTTCAGGGGTTCTAGTTGGCAGCTCACGTTCAGACAAAAACTCATTATGATATTGGCTCTCATCATATAGGTTCACAGTAAATCAAGCCTTATTCTCCGGATCTCTCTCTCTCTCTGTTCTCTCTCTCTCTGATCTCTATCTATCTATCTATCTATCTATCTATCTATCTATCTATCTTCAGTAAAAGCCTTGTGCAGCAGGGCACAGTGGTTCACAGCTCTAATCCTAACCACTTGGGAGTTAGGAGAGGCAGGCAGCAATAAATTGAGGCAGGAGAATAGTAAGTATCGGGCCAGCCTGGGCAACTTCGCAAGACTGTGTCTCAAAACACAAACTTTTTTTTTTTTTAATGTATTTGGTACAGAGTCTCACTACACAGCTCAAAATTGTAGTGATCCTCCTGTTTTCAGCCTCCCCAGTGCTGGGATTACAGGCATGTGCCGCCATTCCCGGGTTTGGTGGCCGGCTCAGTGCACTTGGGGTTGGGGCCGTTGCAGCATGTGGTGCAGGGGATTGAACCTCAGTCCCTGCGCTTGCCTAAGTAAGTCAAAACAGGCCTGGGGAGATGGCTCAGTAGAATAAGTGCTTGCCTGGCAAGCGAGAGCCTGAGTTCAATCTCCAGTTCCACCAAAATATCAAACAAACAAAAAAACCTAAGTAAGTCAAAACAAGAACTTTCCTGTATTTAGGACAGGGTCTATGGGGTCTACAGGGTCTCACTACATAGATTGGATTGTAGTGATTCGCCAGCCTCCCAAGCACTGGGATTACAGGCACGACACCATGCCCAGCCTCAGCGTGCCCCGGGGGCAGGCCCAGCACACACGGCATGCCAGGGATCGAACCTCAGTCGCTGCGCTCTGCCTAAGTAGGCACTTTAGTCCCCTGAGCTACCAGGCCAGCCTAAAAACAAGAACCTTGAAAGGGCGCCATGCTAGGGAGTGGGGCTGCCCAAGTGAAATGAGAGGACTGTGATGCCCCTGAGCTTAGCCCAGTCCTGATCAGCCCTCCTTGCTGTAATCTCAGTTCAGCCCCTGTGTGCCCGCATCAGCCTCCAGGGCTGCGGAGGGGAGGCAGCCAGCCCGGACGGCTCCCAGATGCGCGACACTTGGGCATGGGCTAGGGCCATAACGTAGTGCCGAAGCTCGGAGGTTATAAATGCTTCTGCTACAAGTAACCTCTCTTATTTGATGAGAAAGCTATCTATCTTCCGCCACTGTGGCTCTCCTGCTTAAATACTGGTGTTTTTCAGCCTGGTAATTCTTCAAATTTGATGTTTTATAGGATGAAAAGTGAATGTTGTATAAGTTCCATATGGAGTTTGCTCAGTCTGAAAAATACATCTGTATTCATCAGACAAACTAAATTATTGAGTGAGCCTCAACAGTTCGTTTTAATGATTTCTCTCTGCAGATGACAAAAGAAACAGCTACCAGATTTCAACAAAAAGACTAAAAGTTACGTTGAGCTGAGTGTAAGTTACACTGAAATCTTTCCAATTAAAAACATTCTCAGTTCAATAAATTACAAATTATATTTTGAGATAATTTGCAGAATGACCTCATTTGCCCTATTTCAGCTTTGAAACAGTTGAATTAAAAGCCCGATTCTTACAGAAAGACTTTTAGGAAAAACATTACTGGGATGCTTTCCTCTGATGAAAGGAGGAGGAAGAGCTGTACTTGGCCTGCAAGGGCATCATTTTAGACATCAGTTCGGGGTTTGGGAGCTGAGGAGGTGGCCCAGGGGTGGGACGCTTGGCTCCATGTGTGAGGCCCTGGGTTCCTCTCCACCATCAGAGGGAAACATGTCATTTTGGTTTTGACTTGGTTAAAGCAATAGAGTATGGGAGTTTACTCTGCATGAGAGTTGCTATTTTCTAAAAGCTCATCCAAGACAACGGGCTGTTCAGTTGCAGGGCAGGAGCTACTCCGGATTAGGAAGGGCCAGGAGATGGCTCTGTAGAATAAGCGGGTCCCTGGCAAGGGCAAGTAGCTGTGATTGAGATTTTAATGAATTGCGTGCTATTTACAAATTCCTCAGAGTCAGTTTGAATTTTTTCCTGAAAGGCAGACCTCTCTGCCTAGTTACCCCAGCTTATAGGCGGCTCCCTAAGGATTCAAGTTTTTCCTACAGATGTTGGTTTTGATGAGGATGAGCCTGAGGAATTCTAAACTCTAAACTCTGTCAGTTTTAGCTTCTTTCTAGATCCTGTTAAGACACTCCTGCCCCAAGCAGAAGCATAAAGTGAAACACTTACCAAATTGCACAAAGAGGGGATTGATCAGTTCCTTTCTCCACAGAGGACAAACCCCTGACTAGAGAACTTTATTACTCTCCCTCTGGCTATAAATTATGCCATTCAGATGTGCCTGAGAGCTCCTCCTGCCTGAGTCATAAAGCTTCATACCTGGGGCCAAATGCCTTTATTCCCAAAGAAGGGTGAGGAACAGGAAAAGGTAGCACTCAAAGCAGACAACCAGGCAAGGATGACGGCAGTCAGGCAGCTACTTTGCATAATTCACGCCTCTTTGACTCTGAAGTTAATTTTACCATTTGCACAAGACCATTGGCCTTCTAAAACTTGAATTAGCCGCTTGGAAAATACTAGGTTTAACTAATCCCACCGATCTGATTGTTGTGCCCTTCAAGACAGGAGATTTAGATATCATGAATTTCAATAAACCAGCCACTCACCTGGAGAGGGTTTGCTGGGGACTGCGTGCTCTGGTTTCCTGGAAGTCATAGTGCTTTTGTGTTTCTGCTTGACTGGTGACTGGGTGATGGCTGGAAGTTTGGAATCACACTTAGCCCCACACTTTCTGGTTGATGGTCTTGGTTCAGCTGGAGACTCTTCCTCATCAGAACTCTGCTGAAAATGAAAGATGTCTTAAGTGTCAGTGGCCTTTGCCAGGGAGAGGAAAAAGAAACCGGGCAGATGCAGCGACAACCCAGCAATGACACCGAAGCCCTAGCCACACTCAACGTGCCCTTTACCACCAAGACTGTAATAAAGTAGGAGGGACAACTTCAGAAATTATAGCAAAGGCAATGAGTGTATTTTTAGAATATTATGAAAGAAGCGCATTACCACAAGCCTGTTTTATAGCATGTTATAAAAAGAATGTATTTTTGACCTTAAGTAATTGGGGATCGATAAATAGCACAGGATAAAAGCTATGTGGGAAAAGAGGGAAAGATTGGTGCTTCTAAATGTCTTGCTGTTTTTTGATTTGAACTACTTCAGGCGATGAAAGAGAAAAGTGTTCCCTGTGTTCATCATATACTTGACAATGAGAAGAAAATGCAGCTAATGTGGTAGAGACAGATCAGATCAGACCTCAGTCTCAATGTCTTCAATTATTGGTACAGTGCAAGGCAGACAAAGCGCTTACGGTCTCTCCTTGTCAGTGTTCTGCGAAGAAGCCGCACACATCTATGCACGGACGGCCTTGAGTCCCGCGGTGCCGGAGTACCTCAGCACAGCACAGCAGGTGCCATAAAGGTTATTCAGGCACTCAGCACGTTTATACTTTGCCACACTCATAGCCACCAAAGAAAGGACACACGGCATAGGTGACTATCAGAAAACTGCTGATTTAAAGGCAGCCTTCTGGCTTTGGGTCCTTCCCATGTCAGCGTGGCTTGCTAGACTACATGTTCAGCAACCAACAAAGTCCCAAGGCTTGGGTGTGTGCTGGGGGATTCTTTAACTCTATGTGTTAGTCTAGTGCTGGAAATTTCTCAGGAAGTATGGTCTTTTGCAGATACAGAATGCTAAATTAATGTCCTCAGCACCTCCCCGACTGTTGCAAGTTGTATTGATCTCGTTCACTGTTTTCCCCGACGGTTGTGGCATTTTCATTTCACAAGTTCCTGACTCAGGAAAATACCTGGAATAGCTTTGAATTATTGGGTGCAACGTAAAACAAGCTAAATTCCAGAAGAGGCTCTCTCTGTCTTCTGTATGAAAGTGTCTATAAATCTACAGCGAATATGTTATCCTCCAAGATGATAAATCCTGTTTGTAAATTTAGTGGTTGGCTACAGGCCCCAAAGAAATTATTATTACACCACACATTTTTAGAAAACAGGCTACTTCCAGTAAAAAAATAGGAAAAGGACAGGATAGAATGTGTTGATTGTTCTTTCCCTCTCGATCCTGTGACTTAACAGAAATCCTTAAAGAGTACTCGGAAATGTCAAAGATGAATCATTAGGTCATTTCTAAGCACGAGTTCTCCAGGCTCAGAAAAAAAGAATGTGGGCAGATTTTAATTCTGTTTTAAGACTGTCATCGTAGTTGGTTGATGGAAGTCACAGCCCTGGATTTGGGTTCCGTGGAGTAGGACTTTCTCCCCCAAATGGTCCCACTCATACTGCTTGAGCTGCCCCAAGGGCTGTGCACTCCAGCCTTTTATTTTCAGCCCTCTGAAAGGCAGCACAGACCTCCAGGCTAGGACTTCCAACACCTGCGCTACAGCATCAGCAACAGGTGTCTGCTAACACCTGCAGTCGACCCAGCTCCATCACCCCTGGCCCTTGGTGGAATTCTTTGCCTGCCCCCAGGCACTGCAGAAAGGGAGGCCCTGGTGAAGAGACTCTTTACTGGTGGGTGTTAAGCCCTGTTTATGCTTCCTCTACCCCTTCATTATACCTCCAGCCTTTAGCAGTCTGAAGAGGTGAAAGAAAGCTGGGCAATTAAGCAAGGCCTATTGTGCCTGGGATCGTGCACCTGCGCCCCCGCCAGTCCTTCCCTGGCTCCCAGTTCTGTCACCCTCACTTCCAGGTGGTAATCATGCTTGAGAGTCCAGAAATTGTTCCCAGAAGTGGGTGACTTTGTCTGTGGGAGTCAGAAACTACAACAGCAGGGCTTGCCGCACTTGTGCGTGTGCTGAGGGCTCTCCTCCTGCCTGCCCCACTGAACAATCTTGGACAAGTCGCCACATCCTTTTCAACCTTTGTTCAGGTCCTCTCGTGTTCTAATCCATCCCCTCGCATGAAAAGCCACTGTCCCACCCGGCAAGGGTGGTCCTTAGCGGGAGAAGTGTAGTACCTCTCTCTGGTGCTGTTAGAACCCTGAGGTCCAGCTCTCTGGGAGTGGATTCTGTATTCTGCACATAGTAATTATGTGACACTGGGTTAGTTTGGTTCTTCACATCTCAAATTTTCTCCTCTATGAACAGGATATCTGTCTTTTGTTGTTGTTGTTGTTGTTGTTGTTGTTGTTGTTGTTTTCTGCAAAGCTTTATTCCTGAGGGGCTCAGTCCTTCTTGGCAGCCGCCTTCCTCATGGCGGCCAGCATGTTGCTCGGGTCCTCACGCTTCCTCTCAGCCCAGATGTGTGTCCCCACCCTTTTCTTGATGAACTTGAGGATACACTTGTCCTTGGAGACCTTGAGCAGCTCCATGGCACGCCGCTTGTAGGGGGCAAGGCCGCGCACCTCCCGATCATGTCCCGCACGAACTCGGTGTGTTTGGTGAGACGTCCGCGGCGGCGGCTGTGCCTCCGTTTGCTCCAGCTCACGGCATCCGAAGCCATCCAGGGCCCCAGCCCCACTGCCCATGGCCCTCCGCTATCCCATGGCTGTGGGCCTCAACAAGTACCTTTTGATAGTTTAATGGGAAGTAAATAAGATATGCTTATAACACTTACAACAGATATGTCTGTTATATATATAGAAAGCTATATAATGTATATATATATATATCTCACAGAAAGTGCCATTTAAATGTTGGTTTCTATAATTATTCACACTTTGCTACTTTTAAAATTAACTAGCTAACCACTGAACAGTGACTACCCACTTCTTAAACCAAAGGCAAAAGCCCCAGTGACAAATCCTATTGGATCTCGCCTGTCCCAAAGGACCCAGGTCTGCAGAGGTGGCTCCAGCCCTCCACAGCACCTTGTTTTTGTCCACAGACCACGTGATTTATGACAGTCACAAATGGTTTAAATTCACCCAGGTTTAAGAAAACATGGTGCGATTTTTTTCAGACAGTAAACCTCTTATGATAAACATTCAATAATATTTAGAGATTATCAGACAATAATAATTTTTTTTATTTAAAAACGTCTTTTTTTCTCGTAGTTTTGAAAATTACAGTTTTCATTTCTTGAAATGTCACATGGAGGTGGCGACAGCAGCACATTGCTGTTGCTTGGGGGCAGAAAATCAGCTCCGTCTTTTAAAATTAGAGCCTGGGACATTAAAACACAGACACACAGGAAACAAAAACCCACACCAAAAAACTCCACCTACATAATACATGAGAGAAATTTAATACTGCAGTCTCATGAAAACACTAATAAAGCCACGCTAGTTCAAATGAGTTACAAGGGCTAGTCAAAGCATAGGATGAATGTTTAAATTTTAAACACTGATTATAATGAGAGACGCTTTGCCATTAATCTCCCTTAAAATAATCCCTCTTACTTGAACACATGTACCCCATTCTTCTCATCAATTTCTGGAGCATGGCTGCAAGTCCTCCCCCAAAAGGGTCTTTCTAAGATATGATAAAAAGCGTGGTGAACGCAGCCCCTGACGCGTCCTGCGGCTCCCCAGCCCGCTCCCGGGACAGACGCTGTGCAACTTCCAGTTCTTTTCCAAAGTCCGCGCCACCAGAAAAGGTGAACGCTTTGCATTGACTGAAGACATTCAGGTGGCTGGAGTGCGGCTGAAGACACTCACAGAAGAGGACTTCAGAGCCGCAGGAACGGTGGACTAAGTGCGCGCAGCCAGAGGGAGGTACTTTACAGGCGATTAACGGCCATGTCCTTTGTTAGGATATTTTTAAAAAGGGGCTGGGTTTTCACCGTACTTTTTGATCACACCTGACAAAATGAACCCTTTTTATCCAGACTAGTATTTTGGGATTTAATGTTTTCTGAAGATCCCCAAATTGTCCTCTGGCGTCGCACAGAATAGAGGTGCTGAGCCGCCCCGGGGCTTGGCTCTCCCAGTGGAAGGGCTCCATTAATTAAGGGACTGAATGCAGCCCTGCGTGGTGAATTCAGCAACGATCTGACAGGATAAATTATGCTTCCTGCGGGCCGGGAGACACAAGGTGAGGGGCGGGATGCATTTCCGTGGGAGGATGAGGAGGACTACATTTCTTAAAACCCAGACCCTAATAATACTGTATCTGAAGTGCTAAGTTGGAGGCTGGGGAGATGGCTCAGTGGAGTAAGCACTTTCCCTGGCTGTCTGGGGGAATTGAGGGCAGCTTGTATAAATAGCATTCTGGATAGAAGGGCTATCTTTATGTAGCAAAGAAATATAAAATGTATTCTACACTAAGTGCTATTAATGCACAGAACATCCAGAAAAGTATCTAAGAGCAGGAAAGTCCTTCCCATGTAGGAGGAGATGGTAAGGTTACTAGAATTGTAAAGGTGAACTGGGAATAGTGGCCTCAGGCGCTTCTAGGCTGCGGGGGTTGGAGGCCAACACCAGCAGGAGCTGCTTGGCCTTCATTTTGCCACCAAACTGAGTTTTCTGGAGTCGGCTGGGCTGCTAGGAGCAGGGGTATTTCCGCCCCTGCTCTACCCTGGGCTTCTGGAGAGAGCTGCCTTGCCCGTAGCCCTCTCTGATTCTCTCATCAGCCAGTTGCAACGGGCCCACCCCAGGTCCTGATCTGACAGCATCGGTGGCCTGGTGACCAAACTTCAATGCCACCTCGTTGCCACTGGGCTTGCTCTCCATGTGGGAGTCTGGAACGTGCTTCATGACAACCATCGCTGCACTGTGGTGTTTTTTTTTTTTTTTTTTGTTTTGTTTTTTGCGGAAGCAAGCACTTATTCTACTGAGCCATCTCCCCGGCCCCTGCAGTGTGGTGTTACCACTGGGTGAACCTCAGAGCACCA